GTTGTATTGTCATGAATACGCGATGTATTATGTACATGGGTACCGTCGCAAATGGATTTCGCGTTTCTACCGACCACTGCCGAGAGATTTATGGGCGTTTTAAAAAGCACGATATTTTCGAGCACGTCGTTAGAACCGACGGCAAAAATCGATATACCAACTAAATATCCCTGTTAAAACCCGAAGCGACGTTGTCTCACGTGTTTTCACGTTCAAACAAGCGCGCGAGTGTTTTCGCTGAAATTTTTTTAATCCGTCTATAGTTTGCAAAGCTAGTACTATTGTGCAATGTGCAATGCGATCGCACGAATGCAGTTAACTTTCTATGACTTTCATATCCTATAAAAATAATTCAAACACGAATGTGCCGACGTTTTGAACAAAGCTTTTAAATCGATTCAGCCACTACTATAGTATTACTGTGGTTTTTGATAACACGCCACATAAATAAAAAGCCATAAAAATCATAAATTGACAAGTAATCTGAGTATATAGGTATGTAATTTTTAAAAGAATATTTTATTCTTTATAAAAGTATATTTTTGGAAACTTTCTTTATAATATATTTATATATATTTAAAAGTTTCCTCTTTATATAGAACATTCCCATAAAATTCTTTAAAAGTTTGACTATAACTAACAAATAAAATGTGCGATATTTTAGCATCAATATTGAAATAAAAATAAAAGTGAAAGAGAAAGTGAGAAAGAACATATTATTTTGATCAAAAATTTTCAATTTATGCATTTTATATGCGTTTATTATATTAATTCAAAAATCAATAAATGTTTCACAAAATCAAAATCCTTTCCTGTCTGTTAACGAAGAAAAGTTAGTTGTCACGTAACGCAAAGTGTTAAATTATAATTTGTGTTTATTTAATAATTAAATATAAATCTAGCAAATTTCGCGAATCATTTATTTTGTTCAATTATCGCTTAAACAATATAGAACAAAAACTGGGGAAACGTCAAATTACTTTTAAATGATATTATATATTATCGCAATATAACGTGTTGATTGCCAACCACGATGTATCACCTTTATAGCAAAAATACCATAATGAGCTGCACATCTCATATCGCTTATAATATCAGAATTCCCTAAAGAAAGATAAAAATAGAAAAGCGAGAGGATACGATCCTCTAGGGATTCTACAGAAAAAATTGTAATATCGTGTCGTCAATAAAGGAGAGATATAAATGAAAATTGTAGTTACATTTTCAGAGATGAAAAATATTTTGTATGTTCTCGTACTTAAACTAAAATTGTTCAAGAGGCAAATTATGAATTCTTAAAGTAATATCATAACTTGTGATGGCAAAACCATCTTTGCATTTATTTATTGTGTGTGCAGGAAAGTAAAATGATATTTCCAATAATAGGAAGACAAATAAAAATAGTTACCTTTTTCAGAAAGAGAGAGAAAGAGAGAGTAATGAGAAATTTTTATATTCTTGTACATACACTAAAATAGATTTAGAGTGGAGGCAGGAATTTTTAAAACAATATTATCGTAGCTTTACAATAGCAAAGTTATCGTTTTATTTATCTTGGCAGTGCAGAAGATTAGACTATTTTAGTAGAAGAGAAAACATTTATTTCTCTCTTAAAAGAAACAATATTCTTTATCTTTTATCTGAAGTTAAGATATCTTAAGAAATTTTTAAGTATATAAATATTTTAAACAAACAACGTGATAGAAACATAAGAATAAATTACGTAAAGTAAATACGCGAAATCTCACACAGTCTATATATATTGAGAAAAAATTATATTAACTGAATTAAATCGTTCAACTAATTACTATTTTATTAATTGAACATATAAAAATATTTAAATTAAATACGACATATTAAAACTAATATAACATGTTCCGACTTAAATACTTATATATGTTCAATTAACAAAATAATAATTAGTTGAACGATTTAGTCAAGTAAACAACTTTTTTTCTCAATGTGTATACATATAATTTAATTTCTTTTCTTTTAGAATTTTATCCACAAATTATATCTTGTATATTTGAAGCATTTTATATATGTAAAAAATAATATTTAAGATACATTGCAAAAAGAGAAATAACAAAATGAAAACTTGGCACTTTTACACACGATATATTATACACAATTCATTAGGACACTCTACGAAATGCAGATGCACTCGTTTTTCGCACGTATGAAATTCCTTTGTTTCTTCTTTTCTCTCTCTCTCTTTTCTCTTTCTCTCTCCCTTATTTTTGCCAGAACCACCCTTAGGCGGGTTCCATCGCCCTCACGGAAATGAGTTTCCATGAGAAACTTTCAAACTAAAGTCGGACTTACCGCTGTGGGATATTTCGCATCTCTCCCCGACGACCAAAGTTGTTTTTTCTTCATGAAAAGAGCTGGCTGACGGCCACTGTTACTCCACGAGTTTTTATTCGATTGAAATTGCACAAACCCATCTTGAAAGTGCACACCTATTATCCACACATAATAGCAAAATATTAAAATAATGATTAAATAATATCTCATGCGCAGACAAAATAATAACTTAAAAATAATTGTCATATTTTTCTGTAAATGATATAATAATATAACGTATAAATATCATGATAATATTTTTAATATTACGCTACTTAAAAATAAGTAAAACAATTTTATTGAAAATAATCAAGCAATCTTTTTCGACAAATAAAATTCTGTTTGAATAATTTTCATATTTTTATGTGCAAGTAGCACAATAATAATAAATATCATAAATTTTATATAAAAATGCATGCATTTTATACAATATAATGCACAATAATGATATGAAAAAGTGATCATAATAATACAATAAAATTTTGATACATGAATAAGCATTTGACACAAAAATGCGTAAAAATTAAAAATATTAAATAAAATAAACGCAATATAAATAAATTTGCTCACCAGTCAAGTTGTTATTGCATCTTTGCTGACTGCTCCATTTTTTCAGGAGATTTACTTGCGGAAACGCAGAATCGAGTGGAAAAAAAATCGCAGCTATTTACGATCGTACACGTATTAATCGGCACTCCCGACACTTAATAACTGCACGCGTGACTCGCGAAAAATAGCAATATTTACCTGCTTTTTTCCGATCGACACACGACATGACAAAAAGTAACGTGACCACTTTATGAGCCGCTAATAAGCGAGTCGCTCGACGAATGAATTGCGTCAATACTTCGATCGATCGGAGAGTCCACTCATTCAGCATTCGCTCGTACTTGCATTCGACATACCTATTTCTACGCGTGCGAAAAACGCGGGAAAACACGGAGCACGCTCGCCGTGGTCCGCTGGTTTCGAGACTTCGAAGTAATGTGACGTGCGGCTAACGTCGCGCGCTCTCGAGTCACCACCGAAATCAAAATAAACATAGACCGATGACACGAAGCATAAAATGTTCTGTCATTTCTTATTCACTATTGATATATTAATTATAGAATCAATTCTTTCAGTCTCTTCGCAGTAATAAATTGTAATACATGAATATTATATGCGATTGAAGTATTATTAATATGTGATAACAAACAATTATAAATATTAATTAATTAAACATAAGCGTTGAGAGCTACATTATATAATTAATCATTTATTATTAATATTATAAATACATGCAGTGGAGAGAAGGAAAATTCGAGCGCACGTTATACTTTTCATTTACTCACGTAGTCACTTTACTCAATAAAAACTCGGTGGCACTTAAATTTATAAGCTATTAGACGAGTCAAACGCATTATAATACTTCGATCCATTCGAGAATCCATTCATCTAGCATTCGTTTGTCTTCATATAACATACCTGACACTCGTGTTCGTGCAGAATTTACTCTCGTCGCAAAAAAAACGCGGAAAGACGCCACGTTAACAACATAATAAAATAACAATAAAAATTTATCATTGTTTTCTACACTTGCTCCAGCAAGTAATTAATATTCGTATTAATTTATATTAATTTTTATACATATATATAATACTTTTTCATTCTTTTTAATATCTTTTGCAAATAGTATATTAATAACTAATATATAGTATATAGTGATTAATTATTGATGCATATTTTACTATGGAGCAGTACAATTAAAATAATAAAATAAAATTAAATAATATTAATTATATTTGCAACATAAATTATTATCATTAACATATTGAACTCACTATAATTAATCGCCGCCGTTCTCAGTATCTTGTCACTCTATGGTGACTCTTTCCCTTTCACGACTCACGTAGTCAACAACTAACTTCGCGGCATTCCCAGGCGACTCGCGGCGCCGAGTGTTGCGGCGTCTTTCGTTTCGCGTGAGTATTTTTTCCATAGGGAGTGAATAATATCGCGTGCGATCGAGTCTCGGAAATCGTTATGTCGAGCGACGAGGCATCGCCGTGGAATATTAACGCGACACGAGGCGCGATTCGTTCGCCAAGACACTTATCCTTTCCGTCCGACAAAATTGCAAGAATTAATAATTATCAAGAGCATCGATCAGCTGATTCATTGATTAATATATATATTAATATACGCGAGTAAATCGCAATTATTCTCGTCGATCTCTTTCGTCACTCGAGTATATTCCTCGGAATAATAATAAATTCGGGCATTCTCGCGAGAAAATATCCGGAAGTCGCGAGTCGCCATGTTTGACGTGATCCATATCCGGCCGAAGTGCGCGCGATAAAAATGGCGGGAGTGTCGTGCAAATAAGTGACCGCGCTTTTTTCGACGATTCGGGCTCGCACGAGTGAAGTGTCATCCGCGAAATCCGGAGCAGGATGCAGGATCGAAAATTACAGCGAGATTACATATTACATCGGTGGGTAGCACATCGGCACATCGACCGGTCAGTAAATTCTATCATTGCATTCGCATAATTGTTGCGCCTATTTATTGTTTCTCAATATATATCGCACGCATATTTCGCACCAAAAATTATCTGCCGTTTTAATTATCAGCAGACGGTAAAATAAATTCTAGACACAAGTTTTCCCTTTATTACATGGTGTCGCTCGTTCCTGCACAAGTAGCCAAAGAGCTAATAAAATCGATCGCACGAAACCACGCATTGTGCGATGTTATAATTTATAAATAAAAAAGAGAAAATTCAAAAAAGTTTACATAAATAATAAGAAGACGTTGATTAGGGTAATTGTAATCATTAGCAATGTGGTGATACTGAACTCCGTTATTGATTTACAAGGCGAGCTCGACCTAACCTATTTGTAACTACGTTACATATCTACGTTTTTTACGTAGAATTTCGATTTTTATTTGTGAATACAATATGACATCTCGCGGAACGGTTTTCTTTAATTTTGCGCGTTATTACTCGCAAAATATGAAGCAGACAACAAATTTGAAAGATTTGAAGAGTCGTAAATCTGCAAACGGATATATTAAATATTTTCCAAGGTGAGTGTAAATAAATTGTTACAGGATATACTCCTTAATCCTTTCAAGAATATTTTTACCAGCCAAAATTAATGAAAAATGATACATTTAAGAAAAATGATATATTCATAAATAATATATATAAATTGTGTATAAGTAAATTGCAAATCAATATTGAATTGCGAACAAATGTTTGGCATGTTAAACTTGAAATATAATATCTTAAATTTAGTCTACAAATTAATTTGGAACATTTTTATGTAACTAAAGATAAACTAAATTTTTTAATTTATGATTTATATGTATTGGTTTTGTGTGGAACTTTGAAAGGATTAAGGCAGTGGACTTGTATGCGATTAACACATTTTATAATTATAATTTGATTGGGATATTTAAAAACACATGTTTATAGGAAACCAGATCAGGTTGACCCACCATTTAATCCAAGCAAACTTTTATTGGTGCAACGTGTTAAATCTTTTTATGGTCATCCTTGGTGGGAAAAACAAATACTACGTGATTTAGGTTTTGAGATTCAGGTAATTGTAACTATAGGCCATAAAGGATAATATAATAGCATGTTAATGTTTCACAAACTTTTATTTGCTTAATCGTCACTTTTACAGAAAAACGATCCAGTGATCGTCAAAAACACGCCAGAAATGTGTGCTCTCCTTTGGAAGGTGAAACATTTGATAAAGGTCCTTCCTATAAAGTTACCTGATAAACTGCCAACTGCAGACGATTTAAATGGGACGTATTTACACGAAAATGGCACATTTGACGTTGTACCAAAAGTAGATCCTGCTCGCGAAGAAGCTATAGAAAAGTTTATAAATGATCCAAAAAAACTGAATCGCGATATTATTCAAGAAAAATTGAGGTTGAAGTGGTTAGAAGGACGTCTTATGTCTTAAAACAAATGATAAATTATAACAAATAATTTTGTTGCACTAAAAAGTTATTAATATAAATTTAGAAATCTTAAAGAATTCTTTAATAATCCTCTGCAATTATGTTTTATCTATATGAGCAAAAGTTTTATATATATATATATTATACATATTATATATATATATATATATATATATATATATATATATATATATATATATAGCATCTTTGAAAATATGTAAAAATGCAAATGACAATAACTTTGTGTGTATCTGTGTGCACTTTAAGAAGTATGAAGGTAAACGATTGAACAAATAATATAGTTTATTTATATTTTGCATATGCGGTCGATCGACCAGTTTACAACCTACTAACAATAATTTTAAAATTTTAGTATTTAATTCTTAATTTATTTAAAGTGTCCCATATGTCCAGGATCTCGTAAAATTTCCCAATTAATCTTAACTTTATTCAATTAAGAGAAATTTATTTCAGAAGTTTAAGATATTTAATACTGACACAATTACTAATAAATTAAAATACAAGTAATACTTTCAAATTCTCATTAAAATAGATTTTTAATTATATTAATGTCTATGACTTTTGCAAGCATATCTGCAATGATTTTGGGACACTTTATAGGCGAGAGCAAGATATTTCTATAAAATGCCCCGCAATAAGATTTAATTATCTCAATCGTAGATTTTCTGATTCACTTTAGCCAAAAGTTCAAATAGTTCAATTCGACTTATAATAATATATTTTTAAATTAATTGTGTGTTCAATATTATATATAAATTATTATTGCATAATAGTAAGACAGCGCTATAATAATATAATCTTAAATTTAAGATTATGTTATTGTTACATTGTCATTTTAAAATTGATTTACATTTCAACTCTTTGATTGCAAAATGATTCCAATGCCACTTGAGATATTAACATATCTTATCGCAGGTCATTCGGTATAAGTGAAAGATGAGTGCCGCTTAGGGTCAGTCGTGCGGACCTACCTAGATACAGTGTTGAAAAAAAAGAGTAGAATTTCAGAAAAAATCTAGACTTCGCGAGCGAGATTCGCCGCTCTTGACTACTATTAAATGATCCGGAAACGATCCACTGTAGGCCATGTCCAGAGGACGTCCTGTCTTTCCGAGATTAGCTAATAGCACGGCTCGAAAACCGCACTCGACTGACTAATTCTGAAATTACCTTCGTCATCGCTGATAAAGGGCGCCCTGCGAATCTTACGCCTTTGCAATGCTAAGAAGTGAACTAGATTGAAACTGTAGTTAAACCTAACGTTAGCTATTCTTATTTTCCACTACTACCGCTCTATGAAAACAATTTCGGCCTTGTATATGCTCGAGTGGAATTCAAAAAGTCTCAATAACGCGAATGTTTTGGAAGTCCTAGTAATGGAGAGACAGTGATTGCCGTCCTCTTTCTTCTCCCTTTCTTTTTAATATACGATTTTTTTTTGAGTGACGCTTTACTCGTGTGTCAGATCTTATTAAATTCTTGCAAATATCTGTGAGATATACTTACAATCAATATTTTCGTTTATACTATCGTATTAATATCATCGTTATATCTTCCCTGATTTTAGTAATATTAATATTATTAATATATTTCAATATATCAATAATAAAATATTATATTATTAATTTAATATATATAGAAATTTTGATATAATATATATGTTATATATATTTATATTATATATTATAATAAATTTCAATATATTAATAATCTTTCTTCAAATTAGAGCGCGCACGCATACAGTGCGGCTTTATTTGATAAATTCAGCACTTTGCTGAATTAAATTAATCATTAATATTACATTTTACCATTTTGACAATTATCATGCACGTAATCGTGTCTCATTGTAAACATGATTCTTCCACAAGATGACTTTTCGTCATCTAATAAGAAATGATCCACGAGTAAACCGTCATCTACATCACAGCTCTTGTAAATTTACGCGGAACTGGTACGTCTTCGATTGCGCAATTTCCAGAAACGCCGATCCCTGGACGTATGATGAATAGAGATTGTGTTCTGCGTTGTCCTAGGGCCTCCTTTGTCCGGCATGTACATCCTCAACAATCGCGCTGCCCTTTCCTCCTGCGAGCGATCCGCTGCTTTTCCGCTCAAAAAACTCAGCAGCTTCATGCTCCGTCTTTTTAACCTTAGTCTATTCAGAAAGTTCGTGTCGGTGCTGCTGGATGGACTCGTATTGCCATTCTGATCGTCGGGGTCTTCTTCGAATCTCTTGGACCGCCTTAGCTGTTCCAGCCGTTTACTTCTCTGTCTTCTCAGGTCGCTCGCTTCGGCGAAATCCTCCTTCTGCATCGCCTCTCGTCTTCTCTCCGCGTTCATCTCCTCGACATTGCGGGAATTCGTCTCCTCCGCTCTTCTCGCGACAGCTTCCAATTCCCTCAGACGTTCGGCCTCGCCGAAGCTCCTCGAGCCGGGAGAACCGAGCCCTTCCGGCGATACGTAATTTTCCGTGTCCACGTCCGACAGTTTGCGATGCAGGTCGACGATCTTCCGGCGAAACTCCTCGTCCTCCTGGCTAAGCTTCGCGAAGACGCGGTCGCGTTCCTCCGCGTTTCCGCCGACGCTCGACTTGGACGTCGTTTGAAACCGCTGTCACCACCATCCGACCTGGTGCTTGCCGCTGCCGGGCGAGTCCTCCTCTTCCGGCAGCGGCTCCAGCCGTCTTCTACCCAGGAAGCAGCGCAAAGAACCTAGACTACCGCCGCCGCCCAGCAGCTGGTCCATGCTCAGCTCCGGCAGCGAGCAATCCTCGTTCTCCGATTCCTGATCGGCGTCGTCCTCCGCCGACAGGTTTAGGCCGTAATTGTCCTCGCCGGTGTTCATCGCGCCGCCGCTGCCGTTCGGTGGCGGCTAAGGAAGTCAGGCACAGCTCGGGCTAGTGATTCTTTGCAGAAAGAGAAACAGAAGGCAAGCGTTCGTCATGCAGGCGAGCGTGCGAAGCTTACGTGCTATCTTGTATATATGTATGTTACGCTGCGTTCCTGTACCATGGATGTCTATATATGTCGAGAGGAAGAAAGCAATCTTATCTGTCTCAAATAACAGTCGCGATATATTAAAGATTATATAATAATACATTCAGCGAAAAGATATATATGGGGAATAAATACGAGCCATACCCTCGGAATAATACTCTTGCGAAGATCACTTTGAATGCTAAGATTACGTGTGGTATCATTTATTTATATGTATTCATTTTACTCTGGTGCATTTGTGTATATTGTGCAAAAAACCTGTTTTAAATTATATTTAGATATTTGGAATATAATCGTAATTTTTACATTCAACGTGAAGTGCAATTTAAATGAATTAATACTTTGAAGCTATTACTTCATTTCCAAGCAAGCTTATACAAAAATAGTGATACGTATCAAGCAATCGTTATTTCTGTATGCATTATTTATAATATAGAAATAATTTATATTTAAAACTTAATATTTAGCTTTTGAAACTCAATATTTTTTATTTTTTAATATTTGAATAATCTTGAAAAATTTATTATACAAGCACAAGGGAGGACAGAAAAATGCACAAAAATATGTTGAAAATAAAAAAATTACAATCTATGCACACGCGCGAATTGAGATCTATTTCTATAAATTATTTTAAATCTTTAAACGTGGAATTTAATTTTTTCAAATAAATTACTATACATATAGTTTTGCGTATAATACATATAATTTTATTTTCTAAAATATATATGAATTTATTTATGGAAATAAATTCTTCAATATCGCGTGACCGCTTGATACGCGATAAAATTTCTCGCAACTTCGGAACTTGTTTAACTGTGCAGACCTTTCAAGCTTTAGCTATTACGTTCGGATGCGAATATATTCGTGTATCGTAGTCTCAAACATTATTACCGAGTTAGCGGTGAAACTTTCATCGTCCGGTCCGCCGGAAGTCGGCGTGCCCCATATATCGTCGCCGGAAGTAGCCCCGGATGTGGTACCCTCCTCGTCGTTCGGATCCAACGAGAACTCGGTTCGCTCCGGGGGTACCGGTGGTTGCAAAAGATAACCACCGACACCCTCGCTGAGCTGTTCCAATAAAACCATCTTGCTAACGACATAACTGCTCGCTCGGGCGGTCCACGCTCTCAAGCCGGATGGTGGCGACTCCAAATCCCGGTTGTCGTCTTCTCCCTGTTCATCTAACTCGTCATCTTGATCCAGACTGCTCATCGTACCGAACCGTCTTAGAGCTCTGGGGAGAACGATCGTTACGAGAGTGTAGCAAATCAGGTTAATTAAATTTTACAAAAGAGCGATCGACTCTTTCTTCTTTAGTCCTCGAGTAAATTATTCATTTACGTATAAATAATCTCAGTTTTACGCTATATCTATATATGTAATAATTTATCGTACATATGTATGCCTTTTTTATTTTAAATTTATAATCAAGTAAATTCGACAAACTTTGTAGATTGTTTTCAATAATTAACAAATTAGTATATTTAAAGATATTAACGTTTTTAATAATTATCGTATCCACCTATAAGGGGGTTCTCCGTCACAATCGAGATCATCCTCGCTACCATCTTCGGTGTTGCCATCCGCAGACGTGTAAATAGGACTGTTACGTCCTGGACTATCGTGCAACCCATTTCTATGCAGTCTGTGTCTCGTGCAGAAATCGGGGGTCGGTGGAAGAACAGAAATTTTCGGGGGTAACGGGGAGAACGGGTCCCTCTGCAATGGTGGAGTAGGACAACCCGATCTGCAATAGACAATTATGATCTGTTATTTTAGATTCGCTTAATAATATTAACAATTATTTGTACATCTTAGATTTTACGATTAAAAAAAGTTTTTATTTAATTGTGAAAAAAAATAATGAGTAAAATAAGTATCTTAGTTTTTTATTCACACACACAAATTTAACTTTGAATTATTTAAATTAATATTTTTAAAATTAAATTTAATTAAATTAAAATTTAATTATTTTTAAGAATATTTAAAAAAATGAGAAGAATCTAGTTTTCAAAATTTGATTACCTATGGCACCTTCGGCAAATACTGATAGAGCTCGTTGAATTCTCCTTCGAGGACACGTGACTGCCGTTCTTCCGCGTCATACTGTTCGATTTCACGGTACTAAGACTTGCGCTCGACGCAGTACTTTGTTGTTCCGCGTCGGAATTTGCCGTCGTAATCTCTTCCGTCGCAGTGTCCTGACTAGTCGACCTGCTGTTACTTTCTCGAGGGGTTCGGGCTGCCAATTCCTCTGCCGTCCATTCTTCCAGTGAACTTTCGTTATCCGGAGGAGGAATCTGATGCGAATTGCGCACCCACTGAGCCAGGTGATTGTTTTCCCGTGAATTCTTCAGGATCGTGTCCAAGCTCTCGCCGGATTGCGATTCCTTCTCCTCCTCGTCACGTTGTTGAGGCTCTCTCACGATCTGTCAAATTCGGCCGTTGATTTCAGAATTTATTAGGCGTAAAAATATGTAAACTATTATATTATAGAATAATTACTCAAATCACATTGAAGGATTTCTAATTTAATTTTTTTGAACTTGCTGTTCTTGCGTGCAATATTAATTTTTTTAATTAAAATTTTCCTTTTTTTTTTTTTTTTTTTTTGAACTGTCAATATTTTCCTCATATTTACCTGTGGACTTCCCGTGGATTCTCTGATCGTGGTGAAATTATTACCAACAATCGGACTCTCTTCTGGGCTGCCCTGATCCGACGAGTTCAAACCACAGCCTGTATTCACATAGATTCTAAAATACAATGAAAAGTGATTCCGCTTGTCTCCCTTGATCTCGTTAAAAGATTCCTTATTTTAACGACTGATCTTCCATTCACTCACATTTGCCGTTGAAGAAGATTGTGCCAGACGGCCTTGAGCTCCGCGGTAGGCGCTCGAAAGATGAGAACGCGTCTTCGGGGTCGACTGTGCGGGCTGCAGCCGCCGCTGTTCACCACCTCGACGTGGCCGTTCTCCGCGTTTGGGTTTACGGTGACCTGTAACCGAAATTCCGTCGGTCGTTTTCTCACGGTGAAACACGCCTCGGCGATGCTCGATAGTCGCAGAGGTTCCTCGGTCACGAAAAGCACGCGATCCCGCGAGACTCGCGCGAACACCAGAAGATCGGTTAACAGCAAAGCCCAGGATGGCTGCATGCGCGCGCGACCTTCGACCTTGGCGAGGGCGCCGCCGAAGAGCCTGAAAGATTTTTTTTACAAAATATACTGGACAATTTTTCACGAATAAAAATAGTAATTACTATATTAGCAAAATCCAGCGATTTTTAATTAAAGATTCTCGAGAACGAAATAAATGAGAAATAATTGACTAGTAATTATTTTTATGGGAATACAGGCAAAAAAATAAGAAAAGTACAATTTATTTGTCATAGAAATTAAAGAAACATACTTATATTAAATTAATGTAATACATAGTGTGTATATATATATATATATATATATATATATATATATAGAGAGAGAGAGAGAGAGAGAGAGAGAGAGAGAGTTCTCAAAGTATAAAGAGGAGTTCACCATTGTCTTCCTGGCATTGCTAAGGTAAATGGCTTGCATCTTGCGAATACTAGTCGAGATTCCACCTCTTGCAAACTCAGCAGAGGTCTTCCGGTGTCTCGCGGCGGTTCCATAACACCAGCGTTAGCTGTAGCTTCTCTATAGCCGTGGGCCAAATCTCTTGCTTGTTGGCAACTCCGCGGAGATGCCTGACCCAACAATCTCGTCATCTCTCTGCAAGCACGAATTTACTACGAAAACGGTACGGTTTTCGCTTTTCCGATGCTACAAGCGCCAAAACAGTTTACATCATATTAAAAAACCTTTCAAAAACTTTTCGTAATCTCAGAATTCGCGCGCGCGTTTTACCATAAGATTTAATTTATTTATTTTATAGGTAATATTGTAGAATTTTTACAAGAAAACATTTTTTACGTAACACGTAAATATAATATTTTTTTTTATAAACAGATAAGTATATTTACTTTACGAGAACTTAAACAAAAATACGAAAAAATATTGATTTACAAAACCTATATCACAATTCGAATTCTATTAATTTGTTGTCTTTTTAATTGAAGCATTTTTATAATTTTCGAAATAAGAAAAAAAAATAATTTTAATAACAAGAAACGATGTAGCTTTACCAATGTAAGACAAAAGCATTACAATTGAATAAATTATAATTCTTTTGATATCTTCTCTATATAATTTTTGCATATTATTTTGTTCTGAATTCCATAGTTAACTACACTCTGAAAATTAATTGAATCGAGCTGTATTTTACATTGAGATGCAAAATTCTATTGAGAAACGACGTCGGGGTGTCTCTGAAAGAATCACACGCAATTAGCATGCCAACCTGTAGTGTTCTAAGGGTAGAAGTAGCACCCCGGTAAGATCGGGACGCCGTTTGTGTGGCACAGCAGGCTCGCAGACCAGCTTGGCGAAGGCCGCGTTCCGTCTGAGAGCGACCAGGAGGCAGCAGGCACGTTGTAGGCCACTGAGGTATCTTCGGTAGGCAGCTGTGATTTTAGGAACTCTACAGAGATAGCTGTCGACACCGCCGCCCTCGTCTCTGATCTCCTCGGATAGCTTGAGTAGCTCGTCCAGATTCTGGAACAGGATCAGGTAGTCTGCTGCCGATAGAACGTCGCGTCGCTCGCATAGCGGGACCATGAAACGTGTGTTTCCGTTTTTCAGGACGCTCCAGTACCTAGTCTCGCGTATAGATAATTCCTCCTCGGGCGACGCGTCGGGTGTCAGAGTCGGGAAGACCTGCTGCATGAAAGAATTCGCGACGAAAGAATTTTGGGCGGGAAGCTTTTTTATATAATCGAAAAATAGATCAATGGCTATTTAAATATGTTAAGTAATAGGTGTGTTATGAGAATCGTTGCGCTTCATATAATGCTTCAAAGTGTCGTCACTTTTAAGCATTAAGCCCGTAATTGATGTTTGTATATAAGATAATGGGGTATAATGTGGGTAGCTTATAGCATGGTTGTGTAATAATGTATGTAAAGCACTGTTGAATTATTCGATCGATAGTTCGCGTTATATAGGATGAACAGCGATTATGGCAGAGAATGGCTTTTAATTGAAACGTAAAGTATTTAAAAATAAAAGCAGTTTAAAATAATCTGATTTTTTTTTAAATTCCAGCATCTGTAATTTAATACGGAGATTATATAATATTATTGACAGGCTTTAAGACCTCCTCGAGATATAAAAAATACTTTGCTATTTTTGAAATTAATAAACAATATACTAATTAAATTAATAAGAAATGAAATTAATAAGAAATTAATTTTGATATTTATAGATGATATAAATTGAAAGCAATGATTCACTGAATAAACTTATAAAAAACGTGTGATAATTAAAAATAATAGGATAAGGGTAGAAAGGGTATAATGAATAAACAGAACGCATGAGGTTGGAAACAAAACTTGTTGACAACAAAAAAGAACAACCTTGTGTGGTCGAGATACAAAACATAACCGCATCATAACTTAAACGGCATTCCTAACGCGAGAAATGCGCGCGCTATACACTACACGCTCGCTAAAAGTAAGCTACAAAGAAGATGAAGATGAGAAAAAAAAAAGAAAACAATATACACATGCACAGATGTGTGTGACGCCTCTCTTGTACAAAATGAAAATAAGCTCTGATTAACGCACGTTGATATAACGTGCCTAACAAAAAAATTCGCATGTTCCCGTTATACAGGGTTTGTCCGGAAAGTAATGCGTCGCATTTTTTAAAAAAGAATTTATTGATCGCATAGGTAAAACAACTTAAAATTGTTCGAAGTATGACCCTTCTGCGTCAATACATTTTTGCCAACGCGATTTCCATGCGTCATAAGATTTCTGGAACTCCTTGACTGGGATGCTGTTCAGGGAGGCCGTCGAAGTAGCTTGTACGTTGTCAACCGACTCGAGCTGTTGTCCTTTGAGCTCCCTTTTCAGCCGAGGAAATAAAAAAAGTCCGCCGGGGCCAAGTCGGGACTGTAGGGCGGCTGCGGCACCGTTGCCACACCGATCCGGGTCAGGTAGGCCGTAATAACAAAAGCGGTGTGAGCCGGCGCGTTGTCGTGATGGAGTTTCCATGAAGCGCGGATCTCCTTTCGGACGCGGGCGATCCTGTGATTCAGTCTCTGAAGCACTTCCTTGTAAAATTGAGCGTTGACAGTCTGGCCGGGGGGTACGAATTCATGGTGCACTATCCCCTTTGCATCAAAAAAAACAATGAGCATTGACTTCACCCGGGACTTGCTCATGCGAGCCTTCTTCTGGCGCGGCGACGACGTCGTGTGCCATTCCGCACTCTGCCTCTTTGACTCCGGATCGTACTGAAAGACCCATGACTCATCCCCAGTGATAACGTTGTTCAGGAAATTGGGATTATCTGCACAGAGTTGCTTGAGTTCTTCACAAACTTCCACTCGGTGTTGCTTTTGCGCATCGGTCAACCGATGCGCAAAAGCAACACCGAGTGGAAGTTTGTGAAGAACTCAAGCAACTCTGTGCAGATAATCCCAATTTCTTTTTTTTATTTCCTCGGCTGAAAAGGGAGCTCAAAGGACAACAGCTCGAGTCGGTTGACAACGTACAAGCTACTTCGACGGCCTCCCTGAACAGCATCCCAGTCAAGGAGTTCCAGAAATCTTATGACGCATGGAAATCGCGTTGGCAAAAATGTATTGACGCAGAAGGGTCATACTTCGAACAATTTTAAGTTGTTTTACCTATGCGATCAATAAATTCTTTTTTAAAAAATGCGACGCATTACTTTCCGGACAAACCCTGTATATAAATATAAAATGAAAGTATACCTTATAAAAATATAAAATTTCATAAAATCCTAAATATGTGCGAGAATATGTGTGCGATTCTAATTTAGTATTTGCAATTTTTACCATTTACAAATATTCAATAAAAAGATAATTGATAAACATTTATAAATTTTACAAAGTAATCAACTATACATTTGTCAGATACCGCAATCTCCAAAGTATTAATAGCAGTTATAAAAGCACTTTTGGCGCAAGTTTGCGCAATTAAACTTTACTGTGTTATAACTGTGTACTAAGCTGTGTTTATTATCACAAATCTTCCTGATTGTTTGAAATAAGATTTATGAAACTGGAACGATATTCTCATTTGATAGGATATGCATTATCTAGAACACGTCTACGCCAATTCACGTACGAGATTTATAGCTTCGTAAAGCAACATTAACACTTATAGACGATGCAATTCAGCATTTTGATAATGATTAAAAAAATACATATTTTTTCTATCTACGATATTGAAAATAATCAAAAGGAAATTATACATATCCCTCCTACAATATGTTGTCTTTTCATGTTATTTGACACATTTCACGGCCGGATCGATTATTCCGATAAAATGGGAATTTTCTTAACACACACTTTCAATCTCTGATTAATTTATGATCGGCACCATTATATCAATGCCTCGCCTCAATGGCGAATATAAATTTATCGATACTAATAGCGATATTACTCTCTACTGTATTAATGATATTGCCGGTACCATAAATCATTAGAAAATATCGCTTGTGTCAATAGTAGTAAGTAAAGCACGTATTATGTTCTCTGTCATTCAGAATAATATAATTTTCGAAAAAAATAAATAAATGTCAAGTATATGAATATAACATGAAAAATATTTAAGATACGCAAATATCAAAAGCTTATTCCGCATCTAGTACATTGAAAGTTGTTACGTCAATTTCTTACTATTGTTGTCCCATACGATTAATTTATTCTATAATTAAAGTACCGGCGAATATATATTAATAGAGTATCGTTACGTTCACACGAGGACGCCGGTACCGACCTCGGCGTTGAACGTGACCGTGTGTTGGCTCTTGGGAACGTCGGAGGGATTCTGAAGGGTGGCGTTGACCGAGCTGGGTCTGTGGATGGCAGACGATTGGGCGCCTCCTTTGCGGTATACTTCCAGCACCAGTTGATTCGTGGCGGCCTGAATAAGGCCCAAGATCTCATCCCGCGGTCTCGTCACGACGTTCGTCATTTCTACAAAAACTACATGATCGCCCGGCTTTAAGCCGGAACGTTCCGCCGGACTTCCCGGATCCACGCGCTCCACCCGCGGTGGCCTGCCCCATGATAACGAAAACCCCCATGGAATCTGTCGGATGAATAATTCAATATTTAGTTTGTCAAGTCAATCAATCATGTGTGATAAACGGAAGATGGTCCAGTAATGGTACCAACGAGGAATTATTATGCAACAAATAAATTGAAAAATAAGTAGAATAAGATTTTGTTTTTACGCGAGGCTTCGTCTTCGAAAAAAATATTTTCGAAGTTATTTGAGAACGAAAACACTTTATTCTATATATATATATTTTTTTTTTTAAGAATACTTTTTCATAAAGAAATATTTGTTTCTTCTTTTTGTACTATGATTACTGGACTATTTTACATATACACACACTACAAGTGCTAAATTATACATTTCACTTTATGATGTACTGTAATTTACGAAAGTTGATAGTTCTGTCTATTTACGTTTCCACTTAAGGCCACGATAAACGCACCTGATTTCCCGTAGTTTGCCTTATCAGCCTTCTGGTAATAGTACAAGGTGTTCTGCCGCCCTTCGCGGTGAAACCCGGGTGTAGAGGTAAACCTGTCAGTGGATCGACCGGTTCCAACTCCAGGTGTCTCAGATACATCAAATCGTCTGTCCCTGAGTTGTTATTATCTAGCTCGCCGTCCTTGGACAATGGAGGCGACACGACGCAATCCTGAGGTACACCCGCGAAAGGGGTGCTCGTATTTCGGACGGATCCGGCTTCTAGAGGGTGCCATGTTGCTTCCTGCAAATCGTTCCCGCTCTTTTAGTCCCCCCAGAATCGAAAAACATAAATTTTAAAAATCGAATATCTTACTCGATCAAATAAAAAAAACTGCTTGTTAGAATATTTGACGTGAGAAAGTAAAAAATTTCAACAAAAGCTGACAGCATTAGTTAAATATTTGTCGAAAAAAAAGTTAGTTCCAAATTCAATCATGAATTTAAATTTGACAGATTGTAGTTTTGAAACATTCAGCGAAAATTTTTAAATTCAAAATAATTGAGATGATTGTTTTTTTTTTTTTAAAGTAAAATATAGTAATATAGTTTAGTTTATCATCATTATTGCATAATGCGTTATTGAGAATGTCTACTTTAGAGCGAACATTATTTCGGGTATCATTTGGATCGAAAGTCAAGTGATCAGATAATGCTCGAGGGAGAAAATCCGCTTAACTGTAACATAAAAGATAGTTCCGAATCACCGATAAAATGCAACAGTCACTATTTCTTAATACCCAAATTAGAATACAAGCTTTGCGGTAAAAAGCACTTTTTCTTAATATATTCAACTGTCACAAATTATCTACAATTTCCTAATTCTCTTTATTAATTAATTAACACATATCAAAAATATATTAATATATGGTAATGCAGAATAAAATATAATAATGCGCTCGCGCATTATTTTATAATATTTATTCGATGTCTATAATATAGCAATTAATGTTTGAAAATATTTCGATCGAATACCTCGAATAAAGCACTCGAAGTTTCAAGTACACACTTACTTTCCTACGAGATAAGATGAGCTCTTCAATGATTTGTAGCAAGAAAAAACTTCCCAGACACCGCTTCAATATTTGAAGACTAATATTGCAGCAAACTTTAGTACATCCGTTAAGTATATCTTGCTTTATACACAGAACGTGTCCAGTATATAACGCAAGATATACTTGAAATAAATCGCGCGGTGAGCCATCTTTATCGAGATTCTTTTGAATAAATACTATAAAGTTTTATTATTCAACACTTACTGCCCTGGGGAAAAAGATGAATTTTTCAGCGTGATTTATAGCAAAAAAAAAACTTTTGAGAGAAACGTACGAACGCTGCTAACATAGAGAACTTTAGTAGAAACGTCCAGATGCATTTCTAGGCGCGATATACTTTCTAAAGGAATCGAGGGCGAACATTTCTCGATCAAGTGTCTCGAATAAATATCCGGAAGTTACGTGATATTTACCTTATCCTGGGACAGCGGCAGAGGAAGAGTCATGCAGCCCAGCAGCTCGCTACGTCTGAAACAGGCGGAAAAATGAGGAAGGCACATAAATTTCCGGTGCAAAGCTGCGAAATGTGCAGATACGTACGTGTAGACGCTCGCAGATTTACAGGATGTACGAGTAATGTCTTATTCGCGAGATAACGTAGCGTACAACGTATATGTACAGCGTGACCGTAATGTCTCGCGCACATCGTACGTAAAAGATACAGGGGTGGAAGAGGGAGAGTGTTACAGAGATGCACGTGGTGTAACGTGGTGCGCATGATCCGAGGGAATCGATTCCCCTCCTACCGCAAAAAGGGAAACCCTCGAATGCCCAGAATTTAGTTTAAATATTCCGATGGACCACATCGACCGAGAAAACACGCCGGATTGTCCAAATTTTGATTTATTATCAGGCTTCCCTTCTTTTTTAAATTGAGCTTTCTTAAAAATACGAAAAATCGGAACCTAATAAAATCTTAAGTGATAACAACAATTTACGATATATTTAAAATAATTATTAAATTCTGATGTGCAATATTTCATACTAAAATTAACTTTTAATAAAATGCAATATTGTTGAATCAATTTTTCTTGGCATGCCGGTTATAAAATAATTGTTATGAAATGAATGCGTATGCCAAATATATAATTCAAGCTACAATGATTAATAGCATAACTTTGTTAGAGAATACTCGCGTCTACGCGAAAGTTCCAAGTTTCTTCAATACAGCGTTTCTTCGATATGAAAACTACTTAGAACAGCTTAAAATTAAGTTGACTACTTCGATTGAATTCAAAGAATAAACAAGCCAAGGCCGTGGCGGGGGCGAAAGCAATAATCGATTATCGATCGAATATCGAACAGAGCGAATCGCGTTCTCTCGCAAAGTATGGTGTATCGACGTGCAAATAATATATAAAAATAAATGTAACCATTCGAATAGAGTAAGTAAACATACATTCCGACGTCGCAAGAATTGTAATCCACGGAAAGACAGAAAAAAATGCGAAACATGCAGATAATATATCAGCCGTTCATCAGGTTCACTGACACGAATCGCGTCAAGTTTTGGTTGCCGTGCAAGTCTCGCGCTTTACAAATTTTACGAGGCTTTCCCACGCCGCGGCGCGGCGTCCCGGTTTTTACTTCGAGAGATAGCTATCTCGTGCACGGTACGAAACATCACGTGCTTGTTAACTCTCGCGAGTTAACGCGGTATCATTTACGGGATTTTATCGGGATGAATTAAACGTGGTTGAATCGCGCCAGCCGAGATTAATTTTCGCATCTCTCGGTCTGATTATTGTTACTAGCGAAATAAACAAGACCAAGTCTTATCGCGACAACCTGTTCTCCAATCGCAAACTTATTCTAGAATTTATTTTAGAATTGCCGAATTTATTTATTCTAAATATTTTTTATTCTCCTTTACAAAATCATACATATATTAAAAATATTTAAAGTTAAATTAAAATGATTTATACAGTATATAAAAAGATTGATATGTGAAATCTTATGAAACTGGAAACATTTTTTTATAGAAAAAATAATTAAGGGATTAATTATCTCCGCAGCGATTTAATCCACTAAGCGAAATCTAAAGTTAATCCTTAAAAAAAATCTTCTTAACTCCTTCGCAAAAAATTAGATTATTATCATTTTAATTAGAATTTTTAATTCGCTTCGTAGCTTTTTAATCGGCATATCCTAAATTTCTTGATTCACATTTCTCGCGATCGCACAAAAATGACAGTTAACTTTTCCGTAAAAACAAAAATTTAAGGCGCACCCCGGTGTTATAAATAAATGTATAAACAATACGCGTCGGGTTTGTTTTTTTCTCGCGTTCTCTCGCGAGATTTTTAAAGTTAATTTGCGTCAGTATCTCGTAAATTCATCCCTATCTCTCTTTCTCCTGTCTCGTCTTTGCGGAGCATGCTCACCTCGCACGACGATCCCGGTGCCAGACGGCGATGTCCAGGGACGTGGGCCTGTGACCGGTGCAGTGACTGTTGTACGTCGGACAGGGTAGTATCAGAGTCTCGCGAAACACCGGATTCGGCGTGGCGCGGTGGACTGCGGTCTTGACGACCCCTTCGCCACTAGTATTCTTCAAACTCGCTTTTACATACGCGTGCACCGGCCCCTCGTACGCCCGCCTCAGATCCTTGCACCTTATCACTGAACAAAAATTACGAAATGTCAATTTCATATCTCATTTACATTTAACATCTCAATTCCAAAATTAAATATATTCCAAAATATCGAACAACTCTAGTAACGCGGGAAAAATAAAGTGATGATGATTAGAAAATATAATATCGCGAAAAATGAGAATTTTTAGGGAATAATCTTCTCTTGAAAATAACTTATTCAGTCGATATAGGTCCTAAAATATAATAGACGCAATAAATAAAAGCTAGCTGAATCTCGTGAATGTAATGAAACATATAATAGTTCGATTCTTCTTGAATAACTAACGAAAGGTGAAAGGGTGAAGGAGTGAAAATTGTACAGTTGTATACTTTAGCTTTGAGGTTCCCTAGATTTTATTAGTCTTAGGATAGGAGAGGAGGGACTGTCCGATAATGTGATGAAACGATCAGCGAGCTGTTACGACCTTTGCCCTATACATTTTCACATCACTTTTGTACTGCTACATATCCAAGTTTTATCGACTGTAAAACGAAATTGTAAAGACGAGAGCACAATGCAAGCTAAAAGGTGAAACGAAGTTGGAGAATATCGAGATGAGTAATCAAACTTCTTTTAACTTTGATTGACACTTTCTCTGCCGTCATCAAAGTCTTAAATCATTATAACAATACAATATAAATCATATCTCACAAAATGCCAAGTTCTCTATAGCTGTGAAGTTATGGTTACACTTGTTTTCAATAAGGGTTCTTGAAAAATTAATAAAAAAAAATTAATGTGTATAATATCTGAACACGTGCATGTAATAAAATCTATGCGTATGTAGCTGTATTGTTGTCAATTTTCATCCTCGTAATTTTATTACTTTTATTTTGCATATATAATTGTTTTAATTATAATTGTGTTGCTTCACAATTATTCAATATTTGAAGCACGCGTATCATTGTTGTTCTCAAAATATATTAAATAACTAGTAAACATATTAAATAACTGGAATGAGAGAGAAATCATATTTGCAACACACGACTTGTCTAATTTAAGACAGCATAAACAACACGTTTCATAATAACAAAATTTTGTCATTCTTGCATTCTCTTTAAATATTTTAATTTTAAATAAAGATTAAATATTTTATGTAGTTATATACGTACATATAGACACAGTAGATGTTTAATTTTGCATATTAATTTTTTTTATTATTTTTGTTTCATAGTTTCGAGTTCTTTAAAATATTATAACAAATTTCAAATGCACTCTATATTCTAAATTTTTTTATATTTATATAAAAAATCTAGAGAGACAAAAATGCTGTTTTAAAATTTCTCTTCTTTTATTAATGTTTATTTCCGTACATGCAAACAGAATACACACATAATTAAACTAAATTCTATTAATGATTTTAAAACTTTTTATTTTATTGTAGAAAGAGGAATTATTGAATATTCTTGTTTTAAAATATTAAAAATTTTTTTATATATAAATATATTTTTCTAAAAAATTATTACGTCCAAACATTAGATTAATTTATAAATGTAGAAACAAAAAAAATGCAAAATATTCGTGCACAATCAGATAGAATATTCTTCCCCTCTTTACATAGGGCAAACTTGTCACTGTGCGACGGCACTGCGAAAGCAAGAGAAATCCCGGAGAATCGACGCTTCGGGTTCGCTCTTACGGCTGACTGTACCGCGGAACGCACTACTTGCACCCGAGGACGTCTGACCGATGCGGCATTCGCTACTGGCTCGCATCGCGCGATCTACTTTCCGGCAATTACGACATCATTAAACACCGTGTAGCGTTACGTTTCGAACAATCTGGAGGAGTAGGATGAGTTCGCAGGACACACACGTTTTTTTACCAAAAAATCATTCTCTCCTTCCTATGCTAATTGCAAGAATAAATTACACAGTAGTAGAGAAATCCGTGGAAAAGGAAATGTTTACACATTAAGTGGCGCAGTGCAATTAGCACAAGAAGTGCGTTTCTAGATCGACGTTGTGTTCGAGTTCACCCTCCACTCACCGATTCTCGTACACGAGACTCGAATAATCGGGAATTTTCGGGATTATGAGAAAGAACAGGGGAATGTGATGCCGCGGAAACTGGCTCCCGCAAGGACCTCGATTGACCGATCCTGCGAAACGATCGCGAGAGCGACGCGTCGACCGGATGTGACGTGTCACGCGTTAATGCGGGAAGAACGAGTCGGCAGGATGTCGTACACGATCGCGCGACTGTTTACGTAAGGACAATGTAATGATGATCAATGTCGGCGAGCGCTTACTAACCGGAATCAAGTCGCCGGGAGGGTCTGTGGGTTACTGGCACAGTGATACTGAGCACCCCCTCGGAACACCCCCTCTCACGATACGCAACTAGCGCATGTCTCGTGGCCGCGAGATTTCAGGAATGTACAAGGGAGGGCGAGTTGCCCCGTAGAAAGTAGAGAATAATGAGTATTGCTTTTTTTTTTTTCAAAAATATATATGTCAAATATTAATTAAATTAAGGTAATCAAACTCAATTTATTAACATTATGTTTCACTTTGTGTGAAAAATAATTAAGAATATTTTATTGAATTATAAATAATTTTAATTTTTCGTCGCATATGGATATATTAATACATTATCATTTAATTTTTATTCGCCTTGAAGCATTGCATATATAAAATTAATTTTATTTTTTTATATTTATTATTTATTAAAGGTACTTAATATATTAATTTTGTTCGTTAATAAATATCTATCGATTTAATATTAAATTAACATTTGACTTTTGCTATCAATATATTCGTAGGTGAAATAAATTTCTTTCTTTTTTTTTTTTTTACGAAAAGCAGTACTCTTGAAATTCTTTCTTCGCTCGAAAACATAATGCATATTTTGCATGCTGCTCGAAACATTTTCAGTTTAACGCGTATATCGAACATAAGCATGTATCAAAAGTATAAACTCACCTTGAACATGTATATTCTCCGCCACAAGGGAGCACTCGATTTCGATCGAACCACAACAGTTAAATCTCGTCGGTTCACTCTCGGGACTAAACTTCAAGCATCTTCTGACAGTCGCGACTAAGGGGACTTCCGGTGTTGTGGATACAGAAGTGGCAAACGATTTCGTGCTATACAGGTCGTCCGTCATGGACGACTTGGGACTGTCAAGATCCCAGAAACCGGCCTTCCTGTTAACGTCCTCTTCCTTACGATCTTCCTTAGCACCGCAGAAAAACGCTTTCGTGACCGGTAGATGCTTCTCGTCCAATGTCGCGTCCAGATCCGTCTCTAACACGAGTTTCTTCACGTTCGGGTTAATGGCCTCGATCAGGGTGTCCTGGTTCTCGTTTGTTGCCGAAGGACTACACGTCCTCTTGGCCCGTTTGCCATCCATCGCTTTGTCGCCGTCCTTTCGCGGACGTTTCCGACGAATGCCACGTTGTCTCTTCAGGGTGAACTCACCCTCTAGATCGTTCAACGGCGACGCAAAAGCCCAGGACATTGGCGAGGGATCTTCCAGAAGTTGACTGACAGATAATATAGAACTGTCATTGCGCGCCGGTGACAGTTCCTCCTCCGCCACCTCCTCCTGCTCGGGAATAGTCTCGTATATGTGATCTGTCATATTCGATTCGGACTGCTTGTCGCACGCTTCTAGAATCTTGTTCCTTTCTTCGACGTTGGTCAGAAGAATCTCCGCCACGGTTTTGCTTCCGAAATTTATCTCCTGTTCTCTGCACACATATACATTATTTTACATGATAATGTGGAAAAGATTGGCCTCACAATTTTATTACTACGAATCTTTTTCAAATATCGTGTCTTTTTCTTTCGCAAATATATATACTTATACAACAATTTTTTTAAACTTTTTACATCGTAACTCTGGGTGTATACTCCCTGGAAAAACTTGGAAAACCTGAAATTCTCAGGGAATTTTCTTCTACCTTGAAAAATCCTGGAATTATTATGGAATTCTATTTGAATTCAGGAAATTTTTGTATATATTAAAATATATATTTTATTATAATATAATACCTACTATATTACATTATATTAAAAAATACTTCATTTATGTTAAAAAATTATGTATAACTTATTTCAAAATTGCATTATAAATATTATTTAAAATACTTAAATTTTACCTGGAATTTTGAACAAAAGTACCTGGAAAATGATGGAAACCTCAGGGAATTTATTTCTAAGATTTGAGTATACACCCTGTAACTACTCTTTTTCTCTCTGATTGAATATGAGAGATTAACATGTCTTTATTGAATTAATTAGAAAAAAATGAAAAGACAGCAGTGTCAATCTTTTTAATTATCATCGTACTCACCTGTGAAGCACCTCTTTCACGGTGTTGTCCATGTTCTCGTACTTGGACAAGTCCTGATCTATGGTGAGACTCGACAACTTGCCGACAAGCGGCGTTTGTCCTTGAGCCGTTTTCGACTTGAAGGGGCTGATTGCCTGAGCGAGTTTCGTGTGATAGGGCGTCCGACATCGCGCATGTATCTTCGTGATCCTCGCCAGTTTCGGTAGATAGGGCGTTTTCACCGAACGTAGCTTTTGCTCGACGTTCTGAGAATAGACCTTGGTTTTCGTCTCCAGGGGCACCGAACCCGTTTCCATTACGTCCTCGGGGCTGGTGGCCATCGAGATTTGTTGAAAGAAATCGGAGACGTGCGACTGTAGATTCGCTCTCGCCTCGTTGACGACATTCTGCGGTAGCTCGCTGTCGCTCGGGAAGTTCTTGGCGCGATTGTTCATGAAGAGCGAGGGATCCGTTGGTAAAGTAAGCGCGGTAGAACACTTGCTACCGGGTGGATAATACGTGAGAGGCCCGATATCGGTGTCTACTCTCGGTGTGCTTTGATAAAAACTTTCGGTCGTCGCCGAATTCTCCGCTCCTTGCGACAAGGATTGACGTTTATTCGACCTCAAATGCGGCTTCGACGCCTGCGAAACATATGAAACATGTTTCTTGATAAAAAGGAAATCAAGAATTTATATAAATTTTTCCATAATATTGATATCATTTTTATAGTATTGAAATATATCATTATTACACTTTTCTTCAAAAATTATACTATTTAATGATTTATTACATCGTATTATTATTGTAAGATAAAAATGTACTGTTACCTGAAAATACGTTCTCAAGTCGGTTCCGTGACTCCTGCACCTTCTCCTTCGAGCCGGCGTCGTCCTGGACGTGTTCGACACATTCTGTGTAGATACTTGTCTGGTCCGACAACTAGCGGAGGTCGGTGGTGTGTTGGACAAGTCTCGGAAGGGCCGGCGAGGTGCCTTATTTAATGTGGGCGGACCGTGAGGCGTCGAACTAGTTGTCGACAACGATCTCGAGACCGTCCACTTCAGCATCTCTGGATACTGAATCAGCAGAGAGAATGAAACTTTTAAAAATCATTGTGCTATAATGTTCGTCAAATTTTATTATAAATCTTAGTCGTAAAAATTCATCGGGATATTAAAGGAGCAATTCATCAGTAAAATGTTTCACACATCGCTAAATGTAATTTATTATCCTGTAGCCACCTGTTTCAAGCGTCAACTCCCATTTCCTAGATATTAACTCTTCCAGAAACCACAAAACCACGAAGCGAGTATTTTCACCTGAGCGAACATTTTTACCACGGTTCCCTACTCTATTGTAACATTTCATTAAAGAGTCTTAAGAGTTCAATCCAGCTATTTTCTTCGCATGCGGAGGAAGTACAGGGGCCGGACCGACTGTCATTAATCTACGACGTACGCTTATATAGCGCAATGAATGGGAAAGTCGTTGGATCTCGCTGACAAGTCTCGATAAGGTTGACATCATGTCATGTCCGCCTATCGGCCTTCCGGCTGAAGACTACATGATCGCTTGCGCCTAATTACATAGGGAGAGATATGTACATGATACGATGCACGAAACGCGACAGGAAACCTCGCGACGAAATCGAGCGAAGGAGAGGGAAAGAAATATAAAGATAGCGACCTGCACCTGTCGCGACATACGGGAAATAGCGAAACAGGTGAAAGCAGCTACACACCTGAAGGACGATTTCACGAATTAGCACTTGTCTAGGCGTGCTTAACGATCCTTTAAGCGGCCCGTAAAACCCAACGCCTATCCCTCTTTGTCTTTTGCTTCTCGCGCGGCGTCATTTTCGTCAACGAAAAGACTCGAGCGTATTCAAGGGGCGAGAAAAAAAGAACGCGGTCGAACGAACAAACCGAGTTGTCGTTTCGTTTCGGTTCTGCAGTTGTTGTTGCAGCGCATGCAGCCGCTGTGACTCGCGAAATCGCTGATTCGATTAGCTCTTGCATGAACGCAGGTCTACCATGGTTGCCGAATTGAGTCGAGGTCTTTCTTTTGTACACGATGTTCGCCCAAATTGGCTGTGCCAGGTCGATAATGATCGATATTTCGTGAGCGACATTGAGATTTCGAGCTAAGATTGAAGCTGATTTTACAAATATATTCAAACTTTCGGACATTACATTAATTTTCACTTCCGTTTCAAAAAGAAAACATCATTATATGAATTCTGCTTGGCAGACAAGAAATCTCTTTTTATATTCACCTCTTCTATATCAATGTTCAACATTTGTTCATCAATTTAGAATCAATTATCAGAAATATAGCTATATTAAACTTGCACGTTACTATTCATTTTATATCGTAAAACTATTTTGATAAAAAAAAGTATCTCTTAAATGATATACAGAAACATTTTCGCTTATTTAATTTCAAGATTTTAAGCAGGATCTTCGGCTCTGCTGTACATATATGCATTCGAAAGATCCTGAATTCGATCTTGACCTTGAAGGAAATCCCCCTGAAAAGTCGCACAGGCAAAATTGCGTCCCCGCCGGGATAAAAACGGTGGCAGCAGCACCAGCAGCAGCAGGTTTTCACTTTTAACGGTTCGCCAAGGGGGAAGGGGGAGGTGCGGCGCATTGTACTAGCTAGGTATAAAAATGCATTCATTTACATACAGGCTGTTGCCATGCTGCGCATGGTCTCGTGCCCTGCACTCTTTCGCGCGCGTGCGCGCGCGCGCACTCGCGTATGTCTGCCTATCTGTCTGTCTGTCTGTCGCGACAGACCATTACCAGCACCACTACCAGCACCACCACCACCGACCTACGCGCTCGTAAAACGGTCTGGACACCTGTCCATATGGTGATGGAACGCGCAGTGGGTCCCATCTGGTATCGCCCGACCCAGCGCTAGGTGGAAATATCCGATGTCGATACGCAATGAAAATGATCATTATCTCACGTCTATGCGAAGGATACTCAACGTACTTTGTCGGAAGAAACTCCTGAATTTTATAAAGTGCACGGTGTACTACTTTTTGCGCAGAAAAATATCGAAATATGAAACGCCGAGTATGACTTGGAAAATTTTATTCTAGCTATTTAGGACACTCAAGCGCATTTATCTTCGTTATTCACTCTATGGAAGAATATATGTAAAGTCGAATAATATATGTACATATATGTATATTATTACACGTTAATTATTATTTATATATTTTTTAGATATTATTAGTTGATTATCAAAAATATATAGTTTTAGAATTTAATATATGTGTATAATTAAAGATCCCTTTCTTAGATTAAAAGTTATCTTTAGATAAAAATTCAAATTAAATTTTACGAAAAAAATATACGTACAACTATAACAAAATTTTAATTAGACAAATTTCTTTGCAGAATAAAAATGAAGTCACTACATTCCCGCTTCCTTAATGAATTTCCGGAGGTTTTAAGCAACATGCGATGTCTCTTAAGGTAAGTGGTGAACCGTGCTAGGTGAAATGATATGCGGAGTACTTAAAACCTGCAGAATGTTCGCCGACGAATCTTTCTCGAATGAGTAAGTACAAGTATAATAAATACAAGTAGCGGCGACGAAAGGCATTTGTCTGCGCATAATTAGACGCTAGCTTGTCATTCGCAATAAATGGACTATGACAAGCCAGACTGCACCTGTGATAAAATATTGTTTCCCTCTGTTTCCGGTTTGCAACTATAGTACAACATTATAATACACACTAAATTATATACCTAACATTCTTTTCTCTACTACTGTTCCTACGTTTGAATGGGAGGGGATTATATATATGTTTTTATATTTTTTACGAGAGGGATACATTGTAATGAAGACAGTGACGTTGTGAATTACAGACTTGAACTAAAAACCGGAAACAATTTTTACGAGAATATTTTTTTATTGGATTTAATGTTATAAATAAATATGGTTATATAAGAAAAGAATTATATAAAAGTTATAAAAATTTTATTCATCTATGTCATCTTTTCTGAAACGTATGGTTATGTTTTAGAACAGAAATATGAAATTTTCAAAAGATAAGTATACTAAAAAAAAGTGTGCTAATATTACGAAGCTATCTATTGTGAAATTATGGTTCCGTCATCGCGATAAGACGCTCTTCCGAAGAATAATCACAGATAGGGATCTATTAATTCGATTAGACACACCACCTGCATTCGAATATAAAATCTTTCCCTTTGAGGTCCGCGCCGCAGCTACGATAGCTTTAGTTAGAATACCCATGGCGCTCTTTATTAAACGGGGCCCAGGGGTCCGTCGTCGTAATTACGAGTGTGCAGTAAATCTTAAGAGTCTACTATAGACGATATATATACGATATAAATATAAGAGGGGAGGTTATTGTATGGTTCACCTGTGAATTTTATCGTACCATCTAATCTGCCTCGCGAATAAACCGCCGCTGTGAAAAGTGACAACTTTTGTACTTAGTACTTTCGCCTCGGTAATAGAAAGACAAGTGCAAGATGCAACAGAGTGGCTTCAAAAATTTACGCGTCGTTTAAAAACTTTTAATCACTTTAATACCTCCTTGCTCATTATTAAATGGTCAGCGAATAAATGGAAGAAAAAATCTTTCAGATATGAACAAAAATAATCTCTTAAGGTGGTTTGTAAAATCAAAAATTATTTAGTGGCTTCAAGAATTTACGCGTTGTTTCAAAACTTTTAATCACTTTAATACCTCCTTGCTCATTATAAATGGTCAGCGAATAAATGGAAGAAAAAAATCTTTCAAATATGAACAAAAATAATCTCTTAAGGTGGTTTGTAAAATCAAAAATTATTTAGTGGCTTCAAGAATTCACGCGTTATTTAAAAACTTTTGATCACTTTAATACCTCCTTGCTCATTATAAATGCGAATAAATGGAAGAAAAAATCTTTCAAAAATATGAACAAAAATAATCTCTTAAGGTGGTTTGTAAAAATCGAAAATTCTGAATGTTTCAATATTTTCGTCCTCATAAAATCGCCTGAAAATTTGCCCGGGTATAACTCTGTTTCACCTTTCGCCAGTTGGAATAAATAAATTCCAATGTCGAGAGTAACAGAAACAAGTGCACAAAGTAGCGTCGCGGTTCTGCGACGCTGAATTATACGCCGCGGCATTTCGATTCCCCGGTATACAACTCTTTTATAGGGCTATAAGGTGTTCGCACGAGGTCGATTACGTCGTTTGAGGTCGCGTTGCGAATGCGAGGAATTGTCCCCACAACAAGCGGCCCGGAATAACAACATCGGGGCCCCTTATATACCCGTCCCTTTCCCGTTTCTATTCCCGCAAGATGCAAGGCGGGATCGGCATCGTTCCTGTGTGCCACGGAAAATGAACAAAACGGAACGACGGTTAAAACCTTGACATGCTTGCAAGCACATAGTCGACAAGGACCCTCTCGTCCATATAATATATACTATAAAAACTGTTTTTAATAAGAAAGAAGAAGAGTTGTGCGATTCAAAGAAGTAAACGAGATTGATCAAAGGGTGGATCTTGCTTGTGTTTTTCTAAGCGGGTCCTTTCTAGCCTTCAAGAAAGCTCATTTGCAAATTTCCCATCTGTTGTGTAAAGCTCGAGATATATTGCGTCAAAATCTAATTGCAAGTCTCATATATGTCTTTGGAATAAAATTCAAATTCACTAATCGTTTTCTTTCGCTTAAATTCATTTAATAATTCTCTTCTATCATTTCATTGAAACAGACTTTAACGAAATTGTAATTTAAGATTTGAGATATTTATTATTATAATGTGAAAATCTAAAATTTCTTATTTCTGCAAAAAATGTATTCTGCACCTATATATATATATAATCGATAGAATGAACAGATGTAATGGAGACACGATATCGTTATCCCAAATGGATAAAGATCAGATGTGAGAGAACAAACGAGGTAGGTTTCGATCCTTTCTCCTTTCTGGCGTTAATAATCACTTGTTGTCGGGGCCGCACGAGACTAATGGTGGAAACCGCCGTCATAATGCGAATTATTCACGGGCCCAAGATGAAAGAAATAGAAAGA